GCCTCTCGCCCCATTTTCCGCGCAGACAAAACACCGAAAATCCCCTCCCTCGGTCTTTCTTTGTTTCCAAACCCCACGGAAACGCTTGCTACGCAGGCTATTGTTCTTTTCATTAGCTGGATCTTTAATATCAGAAGAGTACGAAATTAGCTGCTATTCGGTCGCTGTGTGGCCGTATACAGAGTTTTCTTTCGTTGCGGTCTAAGAATTTCAACTCTTCCTGTTTAGAAATTTGGAATAACGCCTAAAACCATAAAAGGGAGTTTCGCTAGCTTTGTAAACCAGATACTTGATAAGAAGAGAACCTGGACGGAATTTGCTTAAACGATCCATCGAAATATTGGAGTTAACAGAAAGATACCAGCTACATATGCATTTGCAAATAAACTCTAACATCGTAAATGATAACAATGCCCTCTGACATAATTTCTTGCCTCTAACTAGGTAGATCATTCTAGAATCAATATTTGTATAAATTCAAATTATAAATACATTAGATCCTGCTGCGCTAATTGAAAGACTATGTTCTTCAATACAAACTAACATTTTGGAGCAATGAACGCCTTGCTCCATACCATTTTTTTAATTTCTCTAAACTACTCCGGGATTTTTTTTTTCCTTAGCTGGCTGTTACGTCTAAATTAATTTCTATTTTCATTCGAGGTGAAAACACCCAAAAACATGCAAATGCTCAGACATCATGAATACTAAAAGAGTATAAATAAGAGGAGTCTAAACATGTACAGGCAAGATGAATGCAAATGACTTTTACAATTTTTGTCTCTAAGTTGACAGCTACATGTTTGCTTTCTACAGATGATGAATGTCGCATGATCATATTTAAGGAACCAATAGCAGACAGAGAAATGAGGGGCCACGTGATCAAAATGGAAGAGGTACTTAATCAGGAGAGCTGCCGGGTGTTCTGTTTTATTGAGCCCAACTGCGTGTCCATAAATTTTCGGCCCTGGCGGAACGGAAAAGACAAATGTGAGTTGAATAACGCAACTGAAGAGAGCAAACCTGACCCCGTGCTGCATAAGAAGATGGATTACATCTATCTCGGTATTGAGGTAAAAAGTTTGACCGTTGAGTTTCAGTCAGTGTTCAGTTCAGCTGTCTGATAGCTGTATCTGTTTGTGAGACATTGACAGTGCTCTTTTGCTCGCAAGTAAATTTTTCGTTTATGTTTGTTTGGTGTGCCAACCAAAATTCTTTGTTTGGTGAAACACTCAAGACAGTGTTTGATCACACTTCCAAACACCTCAAAGTTCGTCAAAAAAAAAACTCTCCTGCGTGTCGTAATTTCAACTACATATATCTTCTCGGTGTTTGGAAATGTGGTCAAACACGGTCTTTTCTTGTTTGATATAATACTTCACAATGTGACAGGACAGACGCATAAAAAGCTGGCGTCAGTTTGTTAAGTATAAATCGGAAAGAGCATATGTGGACTACTGATTTCTTAATTTTTTTTATACTACATTTTTTTTAACCAGAATCCCTGCAGCCGCAGCCCATGTTTTAACAATGGAACTTGTCAAGTAGGATATACAGCAAAAGACTTCCGTTGTAAATGTTTACCAGGATTCACTGGGGAGCTCTGCGAATTAGGTAAAAGTGAAATCTTAACAAAGGAAACATTTAGTAATCCTTCTTGTAAAGCTAGAGCAATATGTATACTTCGAGTTGGAGACGGCGAGAATAAATCGTATGGAAAATTTCACCAAGATTCTTTAGACCCGAATCAAACTGAACTGGGCCTTTAATGTGGGCTTGATTTGGGCTTTTGTTTCCCTTGTATTTCGTAGTAGTGCTTACAGCTTATAACTTCAAAAGTACTAAAAGCTTTTAAATAGAAACTAAAACCCTCCTTAAAAGTTCTTAAGAAGTACAACGTGTAGATTTTTACAGTAAGTAACGTTAGGATGACGCCAAAACAAAACATGCCTAAATGAGCTGTACTATAGTCATCCAGCTAAAAATATGATTACGAAAAGAAGATTACGAAAAGAAGACGTCGAACAAAAACATGGCTTAACCCTTTCACGACCAAATAATCGCCAAAAGAAATAGCGTTTTTAACCCTTAAATTAGGTTTTTGGCTGCCATGACGCTAAATAGGCCTTAGTTTTGCTGAAAAAGGTTTTTTTGCCAAACAGATAGATTTCCCCAAATAAACTTTTCACACAAATAAAACCTTTAAAACATGGGCTAACTCTTTGAAGTTACCATATGCTAATGAGGTAACATTTTTGAGTCAAAGAGTTTCTTTGTTTTCATGCAGCCTGCAGCTTCGATTTCGAAGACGGTATCGGAGGATGGAAAAAGACTGGTACAGCTTTTGATTACCAGCCCACCTTTGGTGATAATCCTACAGCACGTGGAAGACAACCTGCCAAGCAATAGAGGGACTGGTGGATAGGAGCTGCCGAAGTCCGTCCCTCCCCGTATGACCCGGCAGGCAAAAGTCAAGGGAACTTTACCCAGGGAACTCTTACGTCCCCATGCTTCCGTATCGTGGGCAAGAAGATATCGTTTCTTGTTGGCGGAGACTGTCAAGAGATTTCTGTCCGGGCAGAGCTAATTGTAAACAACCAGGTAAAGATTTAATGAAACTTCGTTCCTAGCCTAGTTGTTGGTTTTATTCGTGTTTTCTTTGATTTCCTCCTATCTCCGGGATGGCCTCCAGCACACACAAAATCAGTCGAGGTTTGGGAATCAATCACTCAATCTTTATTTGTACTCACTCTTCCTAAAAAAAGGGAATGTGATAGATTTGTTACCGGATCCGTGAAGAAGGTTTTTACTTAACAAAAGCAGTGTTCCTTTAGATCCTGAGCTGAAACCAAATTACCATCAAGCGGACAAGAGAGACTTTTAAAACGAAATTTACCACTTTCAATACTTAGCTTTTATTAACCGAGTTGGAGGTCTGTATGGGAGAATCTTGACCGAGGTCGTGAGGACAGACCGAACGCAGTGAGGTCTGTACACACAACCGAGGTAAAGATTCTCCCCTACAGACCGACTTAGCTCGGTTAATAAGATGTTTATTATATGGCAAAGAAGAAAACTTTAATTCGTTTAATGTAACTGGCTTGCTGACATTTTGCTTGCGAACGGCGATGAGCTTAACTTAAACCTGCCGAAATTTGCTCGTCCTCTTTACTTTTTTTCTTTGTCATCAGGCTTTTTGACACTTCCATAAATGATTGAGAAAAATATAAAAGAAAATGGTGAATATTTTTGTATTTTAGTTTGCTACTTTTTCAACGCAAAATAAAACCGGTCTAGATGCCGATCTAGATGGGAAAATCTAGACCGCGGTCAATATCGATATCAGCAAATCAAATTCGTAAATTCGGTAGTTCCCAGTCCTTGTGCAGGGGCGTAGCCAGCCTTGTTGCATAGAGGGGTTCCTAATGCATATAGCTTGCCCGATTGACAATCGAGCGCTGGAGGCACTCTTTACAAGGGGGGTCGGGGGCATGCTCCCCCGGAAAATTTTTGAAATTTGGGTCTTCAGAAATAGCGTTTCCTTGATTCTAAGCACAAATTTCTAATAATTTTAGCGCCAAACGTAGCTATTATTTCTAAGACGGGATTACAAATCTCACTTGCTGAAGAGATGGACTTTTATAGAATTAAAAATGGATAATAAAATAGTTGTTTAACATATTACATACTTCATCAAATGCTGTAGACTTGTGATTTACCGTTCACTCAGCTAGGATATCAGAAAGAAGGAGGCNAACCAAACCATTTACTCTACTACAACAACAACAACAACAACGACTATCTCTATTTGCATGACCACAAATACATAGTGTTGCTAAAGTTTTATTAAGCTAAACCTAAAACTAGAACAATAACGATTTTCCTGAACATATAATGAGGATATTAGCGATCAAGTTACATTGGTTTGACTTGAAAGTAGTATATAAATATGAAATTGAGAATACCATTCGCAGGCTCGGTTGCCTATACCAAATGGTATGAGTATTTAGAGTCTCAACCAAGAAGTTAAGGTTAAAGCCCTTGTCGGAGTATTGAGTTGCATTTCTGAGCAAGATGCTTTACTTACGCCTCCCCCGAGGACTGTAAACGGTAAATCGTATTGGTAAAGCACGTGGGCAAAGATGCTTTATGGGTTATTTGCAACTGACTATGATCTGATCTACAAGAGTACAAATACTTCTAGTCACGTTACAGAAACTAGAATGCATGTGTTTGTTTCTCAGGTGTCCCTATGTGCAGGCTGTAATGCTGTCCACCCTTATGCTGCTTTTGTTATTGGAATCATCGCTGGAATGGCATACGTTGCTTGGAGTACTCTCATGTTGCGTGTAAGGGTTGATGACCCCCTGGATGCTGTGGCTGGTAAGTGACGCCAAAATATGCAGGAATTCTAATCTCACAGCCAGAGTCCTCAAGATCCTCGATAAAGGGTAGTCCTTATAGACTGTTTCAGTGAGAAACTGTAGTATTGTTTTGGCGGCTAATGTATGCTTTGGTGGACTATTTTTAATTGTTTATTGTATCGTTCCGCAGTTCATTTCGGTGGTGGTTTCTGGGGAGTGCTGGCGGCTCCAATATTCAACAGGGAATCTGGAATCTTTTATGCTGCCGACGAACATTCATTCCGTTTGTTTGGGTGGAACCTCCTGGGGCTGCTTGCCATCGTTGCCTGGTCTGTCGTAATGGCTTTCATTTTGTTTTTTACTTTGCGACTCACTAAACAGCTCCGTGTCAGGGAAGAAATCGAGTTGAAAGGTGAGTAGACTGGTAGCTACGCTACTTTTTCGCAGCCATCACGAGTCCAGTTTCCGTTCCTCACCTTTCCTTTTTATTTAATTTCTCCAAGTTAGAGCTTTTTTTCATCACTAAAGCGCAAACGTTTCGCCAGGTGGTTCTTGATACGAACTTTGATCGGGTAAAAAAAAGTGGAAAATTTGACCTGAAATTCCTCTCTTTCTTAGGTCTTGACATACCCAAACACGGTGAGCCCGCTTACCCACTGGCCAGTTATGGTGACGGCTGGGGATCTAGCAAATCCCAGGCAGGAGAAACAAAGGACTTGCACCAACAGCCAAAGTTTGATTCACCTCAAAAAGGAGGTAGCCCTAACCCAGTCCAGAACGGCCAACCTAACATGCCTGGATCTCAAGATAATGTCATCGCTAATCCTGTCAACGCGCACTCATATATAACAGCAATCTGAACACCTTCTCCCGTACAAATATCTTTAGCTGACATTTTCAGCAAGATCTACACTAGGGTTGTTTCAACGGGAATGCTGCGTATAATTCTAACCCGCTTTAGCATAGACAGGTAACTCCAGCACACGCCTATCTAGAATAGCGATCACTTCCATATTAACTTTACAGCAGTATTTCTTAGTTACGACCAGGAAATTATCTCAGCTCGGCTACTGGCTACATCATTAGAAGAGCAAAAGCAAACAATAAGAAATGTTGTAATGTACGGCTTAGAAATGTTTAGTAATGATTTACGATTCATTTATAGTAGTTAAGGCTTGCTAACAAAGATAAAAGTTGATTTGCTACGCATAGATGAGGATTGAGAGTTGTAGAAGAGACAGCAAAGGACAAAGCGAGAGCTAGAATCAGCGCTAGCGCGGATGAAATACTCTTCTCTGCAGCGTGATTGTAGACGAAACAGGAAAACCAATTGACCATGCGCGGTTATCAACAGACGGGAGCCGGTTTCCCTACTAATAGAGCAAGTGAGGAAGAGGGCTCATAGTTACCCAGAACTCTTGCTTATTGGCCTTGAAGGTTAGAGAATAAAATGAAAACTAGATTAAACTGTCCATCATGACATGTATTTACCGCTTTTAGGAATGCTTGATCTCGAGGGTAAACATTAATAGTGCTTCAAGAAAAAATTTTTAAAATACGCCAAAGCAAATATACTATTCTACATAAGTTACATCTTGATGGGAAAATAAAAAGGTATATTATTGTAACAGTACCATGAGTGCAACCTTCCTTCCTTTATTTCCAGTCTATCAAGTTCTCTTCCGTCTGATTATAATACAGCGGAAGTAATTAAAAGGAATTTCATGTCGCTCTTTCAGTTTTGACATGTAAAAAGTAACTGGTGAACTTGCGATACAAACAATGGCCAGTTTAAAAAACAAATTTTGTTGGAAGGGAATCCATGGTAAATCTGATGTGCGTTACTCCGTGTGTAACTTAGATTTCGAAACCACGGCAAATCTGATGAGAAGCTTTCATAATCAAAATAGAGGCACAGTAGGAAACATTACATTCGACGAAGGCTCAAGAGGAGTTGGCTGGTAGACAGCAATGATGGCATAAAGTATGTACTCGATGACAGATAACCACGTTAGATCAGCCTGGCACACAACAGCGTAACCACAAAGCAGATAAACCCCACGGAGTCCAAATTAGTTTCAAAACAGCGCGTTTTACGGATCGAGTTAAGGTCAGTTAATTTCCAGTTGTCTCATGTATGCTGTCCTCTAGCTAGATGGTGGCTGGTTATAAAATACATTTCCGCGTCTACGCGGGCTCAATCGGATAACCAAACATTCAGCAGAGGCTATTTACAGACCGGTCAGTGTAAAACGCAGACTGTGGACTGTAGACCAAAGGTGGGGGGTGGAGTACTCCCTTACATAAGTTATATGGATATGTGCCGCCGTGAAGGGTATGGTTTTCAGACAGTTTAGTCTGGGATAAGGTAAAGAAAACAGATAGTTTTGGTCTAGAATAGGGTATAATTTACCGGAAACGTGGCCAGTCTATAAATACTTTATTCTAGAACAGGGTTCTTTACCCGGGGTTCTATAAAAGAAATTGAAATTTGGAAATGACTTCATAAGATATTGGTTCAGTTAGCGTATGTTGGACCACGGTAGTGATAAAGTTTCTGCATGGAAAATAGCTAGCAGGGGAGGAGTTTTGGTGCTTAGTCTAGAGTAGGTTTGCAAAATCCCGACTGGTCATGGTCTAGTATAGCGCTAGGATTTCAATGTCCCAGCGGCACACCCCCTACCAATGATTTACAGAGTACTCCCCTCCCCTCCCCCTCCCCCCCCCCCCCCCCCCCACCTCCCCATCACTCCGGAGGGGCGGGAAGATGAGAGACCCTGGGAACTAGGTTGCCACAGTTATGGTTGACTGAATGGACCCAGGCTCAATTTTGACCACCCGGTAAAAAAAAGCAGATTTGCATGAAGCCTTACAGCGAAAATTGATATTGAAATAAAATGATAATAAGTATGCATTGAAGTTTGTATTTCACATTATATGTTGTCTATGTGATGTTTCTCGGCTATTTTAGAACATTTAACTGTGTTCCATCCGACTTTACTCTTACCTAAATCATTGCACTTACGTTCCAACCAAAATTTCTGGATTAGTTTTTATTCGTATGGTAAGCTAAAACAATGACTCTCTAAAAAACAACCTGATTGTAGCCTAGACGTTTGTGACTAAAAAAGTTCGTAATCTCACGGCATTAAGATCTGGCAAGCACTGGGAACAAAACCCTTTCACAAATCTATCATAATTGTTATTTTTACCGTCAAAAACTGGTCTGTTAAATCTCTGTAGATATTTTCATGGGATGTATTAAAAATTCATAGTAAGATATACTTATTCATTATTCATAATTATTACATGCTGTTATAGTTATGTCTAGGTTACATGATGGAATGACGGTGAACCAAAACTGAAAATTGAAAACAGCGAGTTCTATTAATGAACTGAAACAAGGTATTTAACACAATGCAAGATTCCATCGACGTTTTGGCAAACACCTGCCATGTATTTTCGTGTGAAACTAACATTGATAATATTGTAGAGGCCGTAAAACAATTTTGAATCAAAATTTATCTCGTTGACGAGAATGATGGATTCTTCTTCAGATAGTTTGAAGCGCAACTTTTTACCAGTCATCGCTATCTCATTTGGAATCATCCTCCCATTTTGTCAGGCCGGGTGTTGTGGTAAGAGTAAGACTTTGTCAATTAATTTTTTGCTTCTCTATTTTAGAGTCAAGTTGTATTTCATTCTAACACTTTCTTTATCACTAATCCGTTTGAACAACGCGTGCTGAAATAAACTTTCTATATTGCTTTATCCGGGCTGAGTTTTCAGAAGCTGCTAAAATCATTGGATCGTTTAGTTACACTGCAGGAAGGATTAAAAATGCTTAATTATTCCAAGATCGATAAGAAAGTGTGCAGATATGAGCTATACAGAAACACACTGCTCCGAATTAATTGTACGCTAGATAGAAATAGAAGGCGTATTGGGCCATTTATTTCAACTTGTCGAACAAGATGGTGCTAAACAAAATTAAAAGAAAAGGAAAAGAAAAGAAACTGAAGCACTGTGGAGGGGTTGTTCTTCGTCAGTATTTAATCAGTTACGGCTGCTTTCTTGTATTTCACTTATACTTTGCTGTTTGTATTTTTCTTTTCGCTAATTACGCTTAAAGCTTTATCTTCACAAAGGCCGTCCATTACCAAAATTAGCCTCAAGGCTTATGTGGGGCGAAAAGTTAACAACTTTTTGTTCTTCCAACATGTATGAGTGAGTAATTATCGGTTTTCTTAAGGATTTAGCCAGAAATAGAAGGGGGAGGTGGTGATGTCTTTGTGGCCCACTCTGTATATCCAAAAGTACTCACTCACTAGTAATATAAAGCTTCGCCAACTGTTTTTTCACTTAGGTGAATCACGCATGCCAGAACAGTCATTAAATTTCGTTGAAACACCCTTTGAAAACAATGTTGGCGTATAAAGGAAAGTCAAGTAGCCAAACGCAATAAAATATCCTGGTAAATTTTAGGACAAGTCAGAAAGCTTGACGTATATCGTTCCCCCCGCCCCCAACTCCCCCTCACGGGTTAAACAGGGGAAACGATCCAAAATTTTATATCTCTTCTCACAGTTGCTGATAAATGTCGCAGAATCTTGTTCAACGAGCCAATACAACACAAAACGTTTACCGGCCACCTGATTAGGACCGTAGAGTCTCCCAATCCGGGAAGCTGCCAAGTAAAGTGTTATAATGAGCCTAACTGTGTGTCCATAAATGTTGGACCTTTGGATGGAGGCAGACACAAATGCGAGTTGAATAACGATACGGCTGAAAATCAAGCTTCCTCTTTCTTACAGAACAAGATGGACAACACCTTTTACGGTATTGAGGTAAGGTGTTTGATTAAGAGAGTGAACGTAGTTCATAGAGAGACTGATTATGAAACACGGCAAACATCAGAGGAGTAAACAAAGATGCCAAGATTTATGTTGGAGGGTCCACGACCGTGCGTAATCTTTTGTTTTGCGCTCATACACTATGCATGAGTAACCAACACGTTTCTATTGGTTAGTTCCCCAGTACGGAGTAAACAACTATTGTGTTTTGTGCAGGATCAAGGCCAAAAAAGAGAACAAAAACATACAAGAAAGAACTTGAGCGAGTTACATAACCATTCGCGTCTATTCACTAAGGAGTGAATAAGAAAATAACACCTTCCACACACCCCTCCCTCCCCGGGAATTTGATAGCAAGAAATGTGAAAAAGGAAACAAAAGATATAAATGGTAACAATTATATTAAGCGAAATAAAATATAGGTATATAAAATTATGAGGAACGAGAAAGAAACTTAAGACGGAATTCACCAGAAGTTCGAGTAACAAGTGGACAAAAACTTTGTACCTTTGTAGATTATTTACATCGTATTGCAAACCTCACTACGACTGTTTTAAATATCTTCTCAAAAAAAATTATTTCTAGCAACACCAAACGTCGAAAACAAATGTTGAACTTCGCATGAAACACTTGAAAGTACTGGTGAAATGAAACTGATGATGAAATTTTATCTGTGTTTGCGCGATTTCTCTGAACTTTGAAATTTGTTTTCTCTCGTTCCCAAGGAAAATTGTTTTCGGTGTTATTTCAGGCAACTATTTATATCTTTAGCTTTAAGAAAATGTAAAAAGGACTATAAATACTTAAAATTATTCTGGTACCAGAGTTTTGTCAACTAAGAACTAAAATTGCTCGATTTTCTATCGGATTTCGTCTTAAATTGTTACAAAGTCTGTAGACATTTGTTTTGTTTTTTGACTGTTTCCTTAATTTGTCCTTTTTGGAGGAGAGAAGGGTGGATTAGATTGATTGGATTAGATTAGGATTATATTAGGGACAGACCATTGGAAAAGTGATGGGGGGGGGGGGGGGGGG